AAGTGACAGACAGAGACCAAGAAAATCTAACCTAGAAGTAAATACAGTTATCCGAAAAATAATGAGATAGAATATTTTATTCTAGAATCCAGGAAAACTTTCCGATCATAAAAGAAAGAATTCTTCATACCAAAGGGTCCTAAATGAGGCAAACAGTCAACCACATACATTTCCCAGGAAAAGGATCGGCCTTGAAGATGAAGAAAACTACTTTTATTCTCCAAGAAAAGAGATTACATCATACACAAAAGAAAATTAAACAGTAGATTTTAAAATAACAGCAGTGAAGGAAGAGTGTTGGCCGAGGATTTTCCAGCTCATCAGGTGCCCTTTCAACAGCAACACTCAAGAAGAACACTGCAGACACAAAAGGATGTGAAGTAAACCAATGTATAGGTCTGCCAGCTGAGGGGCTCCACTCTGAAAGAGATAATTTTACATTCTAAAATGAATTCAAGAAACAATTTCAGAGAAGACTTAGGGTCAAAACTCCAACAGACGCCTATAAACAGTAAGAAAGCAGGACATGTGATCTCTTCAGGCAAGGTCGATTTCGGGTCCAAAGTGCTGCATGTCCCAGCAGTAACAACCAAAGGACACTTTCTAATGCTAAATGCTGCAGTGGACAGTGGGTATAGAAGGGCCTAATGTCACTCAGCATCCTCGTAAAACAGAAGGTATGGGAGAGCCAAAGATAAGGACAGCAGAACCAAAAAAATCATAACTGTTTCTGTCAACACAATTCAAATGATCAAAAAACAAGCAGGCTATAGAGGAACTTGAAGTCATAAAAATGTCTTCTGAACATGTGCAGCAAACTTTATATTCCAATAAAAAGAAATGTAGCCTCAAAGCCAATGGAACAGTCCTGAAAAAGGATCTTATTGAGTCATAAAGAAAACCTCAGGGTATTCCATAAAGCAGACCTGATTTGATCGAGATGTAACTAAATGAATTCCTCTTTTTGTGATGGCAGAGTTGTTCATACTGGAGAAATTCTTCCACAGGAAATCTGAAACAACTACTTCAAAAACAAGCAGCTGGGGCCTGGTGCTATAGCCTAGCAGCTAAAGTCCTTGCCTTGCACGCGCCGGATTCTATATGGGAACCAGTTCATGTTCCAGCTGCTCCACTTTCCTTCCTGCTCTCTGCTTGTGGCCTGGGAAAGTAGTAGAGGATAGCCCAAAGCCTTGGGAACCTGTGTCTGTGTGGGAGACCTGGAGGAGGCTCTGGGCTCCCACCCAGTTGTTGCAGCCACTTGGGGAGTGAATCAACAGACAGTGGATCTTTCTCTCTGTATCTCCTTCTCTGTATATCAGACTTTCCGATAAAAATAAATAAACCTTAAAAAAAAAAAAAGTAGCTTGAGGCCAGCATTGCAGTACAGTGGGTTAAGCTGCTGCCTATATTTGCAGCTTCCCAAATGAGTACTGGTTTAAGACCTAGCTACTTAGCTTCCAATCCACCTTCCCTCCCTGATGGTCCAGTGTACTCAAGCCCTCCTATCCAAGTGGAAGAGCTCAATGAAGTTCTGCGAGACTTCAGTCTTGCAATCATTTGGACAGCAACTAGCAAAAGGAAGAGCTCATCCTCTCCCTGCATTTTTTTTTAAAAACTGGAAAGTCAGATATACAGACAGGAAGAGAAACAGAGACAGAAAGATCTTCCGTCTACTGGCTCACTCCCCAAGTGGCCACAACGGCCGGTGCTGAACCAATCCAAAGCCAGGAGCTTCTTTAGGTCTCCCACGCAGGTGCAGGCTTTGGGCCGTCCTCGACTGCTTTCCCAGGCCACAAGCAGGAAGCTGGATGGGAAGCGGGGCTGCCGGGACTAGAGTCGGCACCCATATGGGATCCTAGGTATGTGCAAGGCGAGGACTAGTTTAGCACTAGGCTAAAGCATTGAGTCTTCTCTCTGCATTTCTTAAACAAGTAAATCAATCTTTTGTAAAATTTGAAATTTATTAACTTTTTGACATCATAAATTTTCAGGAAATGAAGACTAATGTTCTTCTCATTAAAATGTTATTCATTAAAGAAGCTCCTGTCTCCTGGCTTCAGATTGGTTTAGCACCAGCCATTGTGGCCACTTGGGGGGTGAATCAGTGGACAAAAGATCTTTCCTTTAACTCTCCTCTCTGTAGATCTGACTTTCCAATTAAAACAAATAAAATCTTTTTTAAAAGGTGCTATTAATTCATAAGTGTTGAACTACCAACATCACTTGAGCAAGACCCTTGGAGCATGCCCCACATCAGGGACCTGGGACGGGTGGGAGATTGGGTGGGGCTTCTCCCTTTATCTCCCCCTTTAACCCAGATACATGAAAAAAAAAATGTGGAAATAACAGTCTTACCCACTTTCCTGTAGCCCTTGAACCTTTTTGCCCTAATTAATTAAAGATTGTCAAAAATAAAGAAAAACATAAAAAAGAAAAAAAAGCCACTATTTATTTTAATTCTACAGGAACACACAAATACAGCAGTTTTCTATACCTTAAAGGCTAACTAACCAAGGGAAGAAAGATCCCTTGGGCTTTTAAAGGTAAATTATTCACTAAGTATACATACATTCCCATGTTTTGATAAATTCTGTTAGCATGGACCAGTACAGTACTCAGTAAGTATTCTGCAAGTAGGAAATAGTCAATAAATATCTGATTGACCAAACAAATGGTATAACTTAGATAGGCTTCTAATAAGAAGTTGGAAAGCTACCGTTAAGACTCCCGTTAATCTGCAAATCATTTTTAGTCATAAGAAAACAAGCAGAGTATACATTTGGTGTGACAATTAAGATGCTGGTTAAATCCTTCATGTCCCATAATAGAAAGGTTTAGTATGTGACTCCTGATTCTAGCTTCTGGATAGCATAGACCCTAGGAGGCGCTAGTAACCGGCACATGTAACTGGGTTCTCGCTACCCAGGAGTGAGGCGCGGATTGAGCCCAGCATGCTGCAACCCCACATGTTACAGGTACCTGGAGAGAGAACCAGCAGATATGTACTCAATCTGCCCCTGTCTTTCTGCCTCTCAAATGAAATTAGTCACAAAATTTAAATGAAATTTTATAAAGGAAGTACAATTATTTCTCATTACATGCTATCAATAACCTCAGTGTATATCTATGCAAATAAAAAGAAGTTATAAACAAAAGAATCTATCCAGAATATTCAAGATGTTTTTAAGTTCCAAAAAGAATTCAATGCTTAATGGAATAAATGCTTGCATATGAATGGTAAGCAAAAACACCGTGTGTGTGTGTGTGTGTGTGTGTGTGTGTGTGTGTGTGTAAAGCAACAAAAATACTTTCATCTCCCAAAGATAATCAATAAAATATTGAAATCACACATTTTCAGTTAACAGTCGTAGGCATTTTTCCCTAGCTTTGCTATATAATTCTACAAGTGATTAGACTCACTTAACATTTCAATAAATCAGTAACTTCAAAAATAGCATACTGACAAATTAAGAAAATGGCCCATTTCATAATTCACTAAAAAAATACTTAAAGAACATTAGATACAGAGGAGATGGTGCCAGAATATCATTCCAAATACTATGACAGATAACATAATATTGAATGCTTAGTTCCACAGTCCCTTAAACCAGCACTTCCCAAATTTATCCCTGAAACAACATGCTTGATAAAGTAACCTTAAAAAGGACTGGGGAGGGGCCAGAGCTGTGGAGTAGTAGGCTAAGCTTTTGCCTGTTGAAGGCAGCCATCATTTATGGGCACTGGTTCCTGCCCCAGCTTCTCCAAAACTTCTAGTTCAAATCCCCCCTTAAGGGCCTGGGAAAGCAGTGGAGGATGGCTCAAGCCCTTGGCCTCTACACACACAGAGGAAACTCAGAAGCAGCTCCTGGCTCCAGATCGGCTTAGCTCCAACCACTGCAGCCATTTAGGGAGTGAACCAGCAGATGGAAGCTCATTTGCTCGTTCAACGCTCTCTCTCTTTCTGTCTCCCCTTCTCACTATATAACTACGTCTTTCGAATAAAAATTAAAATAAACATTTAAAAAAAAGATGAGTTCAAAGAGATGAAAGGGTACCTGCTGGCACTACAGCTAAGCCTGTCTCTTCTGCATTCAGAGCTCAGTGACATCACAACCTCATCAAGATTTTATTCATATAAAATCTCCTTTTCTATACTGTGTTTTTCTTCCCCTCCCACCCCACAGCAAGATTTTGAAGTAAGTACACTGTTACCAGCCCAGGGGCTATTAACGTCTGAGAAGAAACTTCTCACTTGGGCTAGAGTTGTCAAGACTTATTAAACGACAATGAATACACACCAAACACTAGCCTCTAACTACAGTCAATTCTTCAGACAGAACACAATTTCACTCGCAAATCACACATCTAATCTGAAAGGGCAGCTGGTAGTGACAAAGAGAACGCGTGACCAGAAGTTATGGAGCACACCCCTCTCTCATTAGCTTCTGTCACTAGACAGTCCCCTGCTCTGAGGCAAAACAGTCCCCTACTCTGAGGATTTTTGTTTAGCACATGAAGGGATATTTGCAGATTTTGAAGTTCCTTTCCATCCATAAGGATATGTATCTTTATTTTTATGCATCTTGCTACTCGTTCATTTGAACATAGCACAGCATCTACATTCTATTACTCTCGGCTAGGGCCATTTTAGTAGCACATCTCTAAGCAAGCAGTCATCTTTCGATGAGTTCAGATCTACATCCCTCTACACTGGACTGCTGGCCGTGATCCTTTCTTAAAATCTTCCCTAGGTCCTTGCTTTCCGCTTCACATAGGGAACATAACAAATGAACCGAGTGAAGTCACTGCCTGGGGCCGGGTTCCCTCTGAGTTCTACCATTAAAGCGCTTACGACGTCAGCTGCGCTGTCAGGGTGCGTGTGTGCTTTAAAGTCTGGCGATTTGACAATTATTCTTTGAATTTAAAAAAGAAAATGCAGTATCATTTACTGGTAAAGCTTTAAAGTACACTAAAAGCTAGAGGTAAACCGTGCTACCAACCCCCTTGCAGTTCCTTTTGCACTCTGCTCCTCTAGTTTCTGCAGCTCTGAGGTGTAAGCCAATATCCGGGCATTGCACACCATGAGATTCTTCACGGCGAGTAAAAGCTGGTCCTTCTGAGTGCTCAGGGAAAGGAGCTTCAGTATTCCTTCTCGTATTCGGATCTCTAAGTCTATCTTTTCTTGAATGCTGCAGTCCTAAAATTGAAAAAAGAAAAATGAGAAAAACATTTTCAAAAGGAGGTGAGAATCCAAGTTTACATTTCTTTTTACCCTTAACAGGTGGAAAACGAGAAACATGGTAGATATTAAGTTTCCTCTTTTTCCCTCTCATTCTCCCTCTCTGTCTGCTTGTTAAATTTAAAAACAAAACAAGAAAAAAAACTTAAAAAGAAACATACAGTAACTAGTGTGATGACGGTTCCCTACACAGTATTATAGAAACTGTATTATGGCATGGCATGTAATTGACAATTAGTTGATTAAGGGAAACTTGTGAAAAACAACAGGGCTACAGGAAGGAAGCAGCGCCCGGCAGCGAGGAGGTAACTGGCTGTTTGTCACGATAAGCAGAACAATGAGACCTCAAAAGCCAGAATGTAAGCAATGCGCCTAGAAGAGGACAGAAACCGAGCTGCACGGACCAGGAATGCAGAACACAGCTCGGGGCAGACTTCATGTTTCACAGTCACTACGAAACTACTAAATAATTTCAGTTCTGAAAGTTTTATTATCCCATACAATGAACCTGTAGTGGCCTGATTCTATATACATCTTTCATGTAGCATTAGAATTCTACAAGCTGAATGTACAGTTTTGATTTAACTCTGCGACTTTGGTGAACATTGTAAATCATAAGATATTCTTTGCTACGAACATGCACTGATGATTCTGTTACGATTCTTTTTGATGGCAAAGTGAATATTTTGGCTTCTGCGGTTTAAGAAAAAAGAAAGAGCACTGCAGTTTGCCTTCCACTTGTAACAATGCATAAATGAAAAAATTGTGCTGGGGGCCAGCACTGCACGCAATGAGTTAAGCTGCTAACATTGGTGTCAATATCCCACACCGGTCTGTTTGGGTATGGCCTACTCTGTTTCAGATCCAATTCCATGCTAATATGCCCAAGTGCTCCTACCCCTGCCATCCCACATGGGAAAACAGAGCGTTCCAAGTTCCTGGCTTTGGCTTAACCCAATCCCAGATGTTTCAGGCATCTGGGAAATGAACAGCTGGATGGAAGATCTTCGTCTCTCACCCACTCCCTCTGTCACTCTTTCTTTCAAAAAAAAAAAAATCACTACAAAATGAGAAGGGATTCTACTCATAAAATTGATACATTTTAAAAAGATTATCTTTGCAAAAAAAATAAGAATGACTACTGGGAGAGTGAAGAGTTTATGATGACTCCCCAGAAATGGTCATAGATGGTCCAAGCCAATCCACTGAAGCATTCACACGTAGAGAACAACTACTGTCTGCAGTTACATCGTAGAATCACCACATAAAAACCTTCCCGTGTAGTTTTGCCACTCAAAACCAGAGTACGAGGTCCGACACACTAGCCTAGCAGCTAAAGTCCTTGCCTTGCACACAACAGGATCCCATATAGGCACTGGTTTGTGTTCCAGCAATCCCACTTCCCATCCAGCTCCCTGCTTGTGGCCTGGGAAAGCAGTCAAGGATGGCCCAAAGCCTTGGGACCCTGCACTTGCATGGGAGACCTGGGAGAGGCTCTGGGCTCCTGGTTTCAGATCAGCATAGCTCTGGCCATTGTGGCCGCTTAGGGAGTGAATCAGTAGATGGCAGAGCGTTCTCTCTGTCTCTCTTCCTCTCTGTATATCTGACTTTCCAATAAAAATAAATAGATCTTTAAAAAAAAAACTGGTATACATCATACACACAGACATGTGCCAGTTTTCCTTTTTCACATGACTGAATTTCAACTCCATTCCATTTTTTTATGACTTGCAGATCCCCATATAAATTATTTTAATGTAATTAGCAATTAATTATAAGAATTATCTATATGATCCATGTGTCCACAGAAACTCTGGCAGTGACCAGAGGAGGGTGGAGCTTGCTTTGAGCCCGGTCAGTCGCTGTAACCTCAGACCAAGACCCAGATGGACAGAATTCTGGCGTGCCCCCTCCCAGGCAATGGGGTCACCACCAATGCACCAATGATGGACACAAACCAATATTCCCCAACAAGTAGGGAGGAAGCAACTCCTGCTTCAGCTTCTGTGTTAAGAGGGGGTTTAAACCTCCCTTGCACGTGTCTTCCTCTGTAGCTCCCTGCTTCACGTCTGTCTTTCTGCTACACAGGATTGGAAGCCTGAGATCAAAGTTCCCTGGAACAAAAGCAATCTGCATTCTTTTCTAGACACTGATAATGACCTTCTTCCCTGGTGGTCGGCTAATCTTACATCAATATTGGACGGTATATATTGGGAAGAACTTGACGCTAGGATGAATAGCCTTACTCCACAACTCAAATACAGATACCATCTGGTGACACTAAATTCAATTGTATTTTCTAATAAAGCAGCATTTAAACCAGTACTGGGGTCCTTAAAGCAGCTGCCATCAGAATCAGTTGAGGTAGAGGATGGTCCCTATAAACATCAAAGTTCCTAGCGCCTGACACGGTAGTTAAAGTTCTCGCCTTGCATGCACAAGGATCCCCTATGGGTGCTGGTTCGTGTTCCAGCTGCTCCATTTCCTATCTAGCTCCCTGCTTGTGGCAGGATGACCCAAAGCCTTGAGACCCTGCACCCGTATGAGAGACCCAGAAGTTCCTAGCTCCTGACTTCGGATCAGCTCAGCTCCAGCCATTGTGGACACTTGGGGAGAGAACCAGCAGGTGGAAGTTCTTTCTCTCTCCTTCTCTTTTTAAGTCTGACATTCCAATAAAAATAAATAAATCTTTAAAAATAAAATAAGAAACCTATACCTACAACCTTCCCCAAAGTAGGGCCCCAGGCTGTGTGTGTGTGTGTGTGTGTTTAAAGTTCCTCTCATGATTTAATGTCCAGAACCACTGGGGTTTTTTTTTTTTTTTTTTTTTTTTAAATGAAGAGCCATTGTTGGACTGTTTGAAATTCTAACATTTTCAAAGTTGCAACAACCTTAAGCAGCCAGCAGGTGGCCACAGCCACATCAGGGGAAACAACTTGTAGGGCTTCTATCCCAGCACTGCAGACTTCACATCATTCAAGTCAGAGTTCTTGGAAAACTTATGTAGAAGACCAAGTTGCTGCTCCCTATGGAAGTGGAGACTATCTAGCAGAAGGCAGCTTTACAATACTATTTTTGAGAGGAGCGGCAAGCACCTGTTTCTGGAACTAAAGTCACACTGAAGCGCTTGCCACATCCATTTGTATTCTCAACCCATAACAGCAGAGCTGAGTGATCCCGATTAGTTTGTGGCCTGCAAGGCTGACAATACTTACTATCTAGCCCTTTACAGAAGTAATCTATTGAGCCTTGGCCCTGCCCAATTAAATTGCAGCTAGCTCCCTTGCAGAGGCTAACCTCAGGGTTAAGGTGAGTTAAATTGGTCTGTGAGAGCTGATACAAGCAGAATGAACTGGTGTTATGCATGGTTTTGAACACGTGGAGTTTTTGGGTTTTGATACAGGTTCTTCTTTTAGCTAGCTGTGTATTCTCCACACAATTTGTTTTAGTAAACAGCTACACTTCACACACAGAAGTAAACTTTGTTCGACCAATACTAGCTCTAGTAAACAAAGGGCTTGACGGAGTGCAGTGACCCAAGGACATTACGGGCTGCTGGAGAGAGGAATCGGGCTCAGCCTATCCAGAGTGTGCATCTGAGTGGATCAGGGAGGATGGGACCTGACCAGGGTGGGCATCACTGACAGCCTAGGCACCTGGAGGGACCAAAGGGGAAGGTGACTTCCACCTGCCTGGAAAACAAACAAACAAACAAACTGGGAAATGCGCATCCTCCGCCCTTTTGCCGACAGCCAGGCTTTTCAGTACTGAATGGAGAATCCCGTCCAGGGCTTCTCTGCTTCCCAGGCAGTTGGGTTAGACCAAGCCACACTACCAGCACAGGCTCTCTGGCCTGCAGACCATCTGTCCTGGGGCTTCTCAGCTGCTACAACTAGGCAAGCCAGCCTCCTCCCTAATGAATTCTCCTTCCTCTCCTTGTATGTGTAGCTTCATCAATTCTGTATCTCCAGAGAACCCTACCCAATGCAATGGTCTTAGTGTTGCTACTAAGAACTGGTTAGAAAACCTTGAAGGTGGGCGGCTGGTAAGACATGCTATCATTTACCTCATGGATGTAGACCAGCTACGTTGGCAGGAAGAGCAACATGCAGGTGGAGAAAGACAAGACTACAGAAAAGCAGCCCCAGGACTCCGGTAATGTCATGTCTCTGCAAGAAACCTCACAGACTTCAAGAATTATTGATGTACACAGCCAGGTCTGGAGAATGCTAACAGTGGGCCACTCGGGGGGATGGAACTGCAGAAAGAATTCTTAAATTCTTACATCTCTACGTACATTGACTTCTCTGCAGTGGGGGAAATATTAGCTTTCAATTTTTATTAAGATTTCAGAAGCCCAAACATTTACATGAAAAAATAGGTGACTGCCTCCACTGCTCAGAGGAATGAGACTAAAAAGAAATAAAGGAAGAAGTGAGCAGTCTCTCTCAAGTGTTTCCTGAGTCTAGGTGCTGTGCTAAATATTCTATTAAGCTTGTCAAATCCCCACACCCATTCCATACCTGGGGAAAGCAGAACGTGGGTGAGACAGATAAGTTATTAAAGACCGCACGCCACGCACGGTTGAATTGAACTCAAATCTGACCCCTGCCTCAATATGATGTGATGTAAGGGGTTTGCAGAAGACCCTAACAATTCAGTAAGATGTTTGTCTAGTGGGTGACCACCCCAAAATCTTCTATTTGAACCCCTACTAGAGAGTAGCTTCTTCATAACCAAGAAAACAACCCAAATATTCAGCGCTAATCAACTATAAAATTCCCTTCCTGACCTTCAATATTCCTATTAGATTGAAGACTCTCACTAGTTTGGAGCAATTTTCCCCCAAACAAAAGCAGTGATTCAACATTTCGGCTATTTTGATTTCACTGTGCCTAAGGGCGATATCGGTAAGCACTGGTCCAATCCAGCCTAAATAACCAAATCATTATGCATATTTAACATTTTCATCCCAGGCTGTTAAAACTGTTTTCACGACTTTGTCCTCTTGTCTCTTTGTACTATTCCTAAACATTCCTGCAGCATAGAGCTCAGGAAACTCAGATGGCTTACTCAAAATTTTGATATTGGCAAGAATCCCAAATGATTCAGAATTTTTTTTTTAACCATCAGTCAGGCTAGCCAAAGTATGTAAGAGAGGATATAGAAGATGCCTTTACAGCAAAACCTTCGAAATTTTTAGAAATGCTGGCATAAATAATAATAGTAGAGTTAATTTGCATAATCATTCCCAATTCCTTATTTTTCACAGTATCATTGAAAATTTCTTAACAACTTTAGATCTGCTAAGGAAATTCCAGACTTCTAAACAAAAATATTCCGCTGAACCAAAAGAAACTGCAAATACTCTGCCGGTATTGACATGCAAAATTGGCAAGCTGTATATAAGTTAAAGTTAAAATTAGCACGTGATTGAAGCAGAAGTTCCAGCTTAAAGGAGATCCAGCTTAAAGACATCAGCAGTTTCTATTAAGACCCACCCCCCCCAACCAAGGTTAAGATTGGGAAGTGCAATATAAAATTCTAATAGCTGATGTTGCTAACACAATTTTATCAGCTGAACTACAAACGTCTACACTATTTAAAGCGCCCTTCTTCTCCCTTGCAACTGTTTGCAAAATAACACACTATCAAACCTCCTATGTCTTCTAAAGTTCAGAGGTTGCAGTCGCTTCCGCACTCCGCTATCCACTCGCTTCTGCTGGGTGTAGATATCGCTCCAGCTTTCCGTTAAATCCAGTGATAACCCGAGTATCTTCTGGGAAGTCCCCAGGGCATCCATACTCCTGCTTGCAGACACAGGGGTGTCTGAGGTGAGGGCTGCGGACAGGTGCGCCACAAAACGCTGGCAGGAGCGCATCGCTCCACACCTTCCCCGCCATCAGCTTGCTCCCTAACCTGGGGGTTCAGTTGCTCCTGGCCTTTCGGGGACCCACGGTGCAGCCTCCTAGTCCCTCTCCCTGTCTGTGGCCACGGCTGATTTCGAGTGGCCGAGCGCCGTCTTCCCGGACGAGGAAACAAAGCAGCCAGGGCCCCTTCCTAAGTCCGCAGCTGGACCCCCTTCCTCACTCACCTGAGGGGCGCCGAGCCCCGCCACACCGACTCGTGTCTGCTCCTCCATCTCCAGCACCAGAGCCGGGGCCGCCTCCACTCCTCCAAACCGCAGATTTGAAAATCCCGCCCCTGGCCGCGGCCGTGGAGGACGCCAACCGCCCGGCCGTACCAAGTGCCGGCTGCAGGGGGAAGGGGCGCAGGGCTGAGGAGGGGAGCGAGGGAGAGGGGAGGAGACGCGGAGCGCGCGAGCGCACGCGCAGTGGGCAGACCCCGCGTCCGGAGGCGCCAGCTGCCGGAAGTTTGTGGAGACCCGACTTTTGGGTTGCGGGCTGTGGAGGCAGGACTTAAGGCCCAGGTGGGGTTGTGGGCCGGCCTGCGTCGGGAGCGGGCGTGACCTCGAGAAAAGCGTGGGCTGAAAGTATGGTTTTCGGGATCACGGCTTTGCCCTGCGGAGCCCACCTGTCCACGTCTCCTGACGTGACTGAGGCGCACGGACTCGAAGCTGTGGTTCCTGGGCCCAGCACAGAAAACGCTGGGACACTTGGAGTCCCAAGAAGCCCGAGGTGTGATTCCTGATCTGAATGACATCTCTGTCCAAAGTGGAAGGCCTTGTCGCCCAGGGTCCCGCCCAGCCCGGAATCCTATTGGTCAGGCTCATGAGGCACCGACCTTGGCCTGTTGCCTCCAGCATCTCTTCACGGGCGTCCACCCAAGAACTCCGTCCTTTCGCTCCAAGGACCCCTTTCCTTCTACTTTTACGTGGAGTTCCTTCCTCCAAAATGATCCAAGGACATTCTTCCTCTCTCAGGGAGGAGTCTACCAGGTCAGCCCACCCTCACCTTCCCAGGAAGGCCTTAGGCACTTTTGTGTCCACCTGCAGAGTGAAGTAAGGGTGTGTTTTATTTATTTTGGGTGTCTGTTGTCCTGATATCCAACTCTATCTTGTGGCTTTCCCTACGTGGATTTTCTTTTTTAAGAATTGGTTATTTTTATTGGAAAGACAGATACAAACAGAAAGAGAGACACTCCCCAATTGGCTGCAATGGCTGGAGCTGAACTGATCTGAAACCAGGAGCCAACAACCTACTCTTGGTCTCCGACGTGGATGCAAGCTTTGCCAGGCCACAAGCAGGGAGCTGGATAGGAAGCAGAGCAGCCAGGATACGAACCGATGTGCATATGGGATCCCAGAGCTTACAAGGTGAGGATTTAGCCACTGAGGTATCGCACCAGGCACCCAAAGAGGAGTTTGAATTAGGTGTAATCACCTTATTTACAAAGCCCACTTTTAAGCAGTTGAAGATGAAGATGGAAGTATGATGGATACTTCTGTGATTTGAACAAGATTTGGTTCCCAAGCTTCTGTGGGTGTTCAACTCAGGGTCAAAGCTGAAAGTAGTAAGAAGGTGGACACAGTCCCACAGGGTGGTACTTGGAGAGAGGTGGGCCCTTCTGTGGGTCCTCTAGGCTCCTGGCCATGTGCTGTCAGTGGCAGCTCTCACAAGGGGCTCCAGCCCTTCCTTCTGTTTCCAGGAGTACCCTGTTATCCTTGCTCTACAGTGGCACCACCACTGTCTCTGTTGCCAGAGGATCAAACCAGTGGGGTCTGCCAAATCTTGGACTATGCCCCTCCCACACCATGTGCCCAAATAAACCTCCTTTCCTAAGTGGCTTCTCTGAGATACTTTGTGATAGTGATGCAAAGCTGATTCGTGCAGGTGATCTTCCTCTCAAGTGGTAATTTGCATCTCTGGGGTCCTTTTAAGTAGGTGATGCGACCAGCTGCCTAGTTAGGAATGACTCTCCCCTTCTGTTAGGAACGTATTTGTCATTCCTAATGACCTATGTCTTTACACACAACTAAAACATGTAGAGCTCAGAATTACCAACAGAGAGCTCCCCTCTTCTCTCCAAACACAAATCTGGACCCCATGGTCATTAGGTACCACTTTGGCAAGCACACGCCTCTCTTCTATGCTTCTCTCTTTGTGGTGTAATTATCCCCTACTCAACTTGACTCGCATGAGCCTCGTATAGTACCTGACTCATTAAGGAAATACAGATGGCTCATCATCAGACAGACAGCACTTACCATATAACACACAGCTCTCAGGCTCACATGAAAATACATATCAAAGGCAACAATCCAGGAAAACAAGCAGGGCAAACAATTTAAAATTGAATCCTGGTGAAGGAATGTTTGACCAGAGAATACTAGGTACAGAGATGCAGGTGTATTTATTTACAGTGCTTGAAGAATGCAGCCTAAACAAGGCCATGTTTAGTAATTATCTGTAGAACACAGACAGTTGTGATTAAAGACCTTTCTCTTTAGAGAAGATAGATGTGGTCCTATCTGTTATTCATCAAGGGGTGTACCAGGAAATGCTTAACTATTATTTGGTGATTAAAATGCCTCAGAGTAGGACTTCTGTTTTCTTATTTATCCCTACCTCCTTTCTTGTTTCTATTAGTTTCATCAAACATAATTTTCTCTAGTGTAAGTAATATATGCACAAATAGAATCATCCATAGAAACAAAGGGTTGAAGAGAGTTCATGTGCAGTACTTTGATTAGCTTGAGCATCTCAATCTCTCTTTTCCCCTTCTTCTACTTCTCCCTCCCCCCTCTCATCTATTTTGCAGCTCTCAGAATGTTGTTTTCTCTATCTCAAAGAGTTGAAAAACATTTGAACATCACTTAACCCACCTTGGGCTTTCACAGACAGTAGATACCTACCCAGCTGCCAAAAGCACTGCCTTCAGCGGGAGGGTAAGTGATAGAACTACTACCCCACCAATATCCCTTCTCATAAGAAACTGCAGTGTTAATTATAATGATAATCTTAGTAGTTATATCTGACATACCATAGATAATATTTAATAATGAAGTTCAAAGTATTCAACATATAACAGCCAGTTTAGACAATAATAGTAAATGTTGAAGTATGTTTTTCTTCGCTTTATTCTGTTTACTTTTCAGAACTTCTCAGTGGTGAAAGAAAAATACTTAACTTGAAATAATGTCCGTATAGCACTCACAAGTGTGGTTTGTTACTGAACATGTAATTCTGCTGACTTCTGGTATCCTCCTAGCCTCTCAAAAAATGCCATAGAAATTCTCCTGATGCATCCTCACTCAACTGTTCATCTTGTAGATAATGAATTAAAATGAGTTTCATAGACTAGAGCTGTATTTCCAATTATATATACAACACAACGAGATGGATGGGGCGCTAAGCAGAGGTACAACACTTTCTGTAGTGAATAGGTTATAATCAGCAGAAGCATCATATAATCGGAAGGAAATGGAATGAGAAGTCCGAGGACTGACGAGCATTATGATCTTAGGCAAGCCATTCAGTTTCCTTATCTATAAAACAAAAATAATAATACCCATCCTGTGTCTTTAAAGTCATTGGTAGAATCAGATAAAATTTGGAAATGAATGCTTTGTAAAATGGTTATCCCCAGAACATGAGCCAGGAAAGAATGCAGTGGTATCAATAGGAAGTCGTAACTAGAACTGCAGAGCTCAGGACTGAGTCAGAAAAGCTTAGCAAAGTAGGCATACTCAATAGATGTCACTACTAGCATATAATGTATAGGTAAAAATAAAAAACTCATACAAACCAACAAAACCCCTGTTGGAACATGGGTCAGAAAGCTTGGCAGGCATGTTATAGAATAAAAACTCAAGTAGAAAATATGGAAGATTGCTCAAACTTATTATTTTGAGAGGTGTAGATTAAAACTACAGTGAAATGCTATTTCATAGTTGCTAGATTGATTCATATTAGGAAGTCTTACTACTAAGGATTGGTAAGGAGATTAGTTCAAAGGACATTATACTTCTGAAGGAATAGAGATGTCTATTCATTTTGGAAAAGACTTCTAAAACTATCTAGTGAGGATAATTGTATATGCATATATCTGTAGTAGTTCCACTCATGAGTGTATAACCTTTAATAGACTTGTGCAAATTTGCTGTTGATTGTATTAGCAAGAATATTTGAGCATTCGTTTCAGGAGCATGAATCAATAAACTGTGGCATTGTACTCATAGCTTTGAAAATGAATATATTGTAGTTATGTGTAAAAACATTTGAGGTAAATGAGTGAAGAAACTTAGTTGTAGAATACAAAAAACAGGTAATTTCTAAAAATCTCAGTAACAAGAGAATCTAAACTTTACCTCTTTTGGGGATTAATACAGATGAAAATAAGTTTATACTTAACTAGGGAGGGTATGATAGGAAGGCAGGGGGTTGAATGGAGACAGAGCCTGCAGATAGAACACTACTTACTGGTCATATTTCAACTGTTGAGTGATGGATTCACAGATTTTCATTTTAAAGTTCATCTGGTAGTTTTCATGTATATCACATGTATTGCTTTGTATTCATCAAACATCTCATGATAAGAAATCATCTTAATCATATGAAATATCTTTGCATAAGTTCAACAAAAGTGATCATTGCAGTATTTTTTAGAAAAAAGAAACCTTACTTGGAAAAAGTAATAATACAGTCTTTGACTTAGAAAATTTAACTTGACATATGACCTATTCCTAGTACATTCTTAGTGTGTGAAATCTAGGCCATTAGCAGGGAACTGGATCAGAGGAGCAACAGCCAGAACATGTGGGATGCCAGTGCCATGGCTGCTTTACCTGTGCATCACAATGCTTTGAAGTCCCCTTGGCCAGGAGAGGTATAAATAATCCACTTGTCAAGACTGCAGCTTATGTTCCCCTTCCAGGAACTGATCTGCCTGACAACTTGCCCCATGTTTAGGTCTCATATGGGTTCCTTGTTCATAGTCGCCAAAAGAAAGCAATACTTGTATTCATCCTAATTACCTGGTTACAAGCTTAGAAACCATCTGGAGGGGAGGGGGAGGACAAAAGGACAATTAAAATTACTTGAGTTGCTGTTGTTACTAGCAGCGAACCAGAGACTTAGTGCTTATGCTGACACAAGTGAAAACCAGATGTAGAGTTGATGTCAAGCCTGATTTCATTTTAGCGGTAAGTAATAGTCACTCATGGATGCATGAAGCACTTGGAAGAAAAAGGGCTCTTCCATTCTATGAAATGTGAGAATATGTAAAATCTCAATTTACATACATATGTTTGTTGCAAAGAAATAGGATAAGGTAAGTAATAAAGACCTTTTATGCATGAATAAATTATGTATTCGCATAAATTCTGT